GTAGATATATTGAAAAGAACCTAGTTGGGGTATTTAGTCAAAAGTGACATAGTAAAAAAAACTATACTTATTTTTAAAGGCAGGAGATGGTCCGGGGTGGCGGTGCTAAATAGACTAAATAGTGGGAAAACTATTTTATTCAGTTCAATATACTATGCTATACTATTCAATATACTTATTTTTATTTTTGCCGACGTTTCAGACATTCATCATAGCTGATCTCACGAGCACCCTCTGAATTAAAATATTGCTATCTATAAAGGTAAATGCAAGAAAACAACTATTGAGATCTCTTGGGTTCTTCGTATAATATAAAAAGAAATTTTTTGATATTTTTAGTTTTTTTAAAAACTAGGTGTACTTCTGTTCGCCTAACGGCGTACCAATCCCAATTTTACAAATTAAAGATGTTAATTTAATTGTACTAACTGTAATTTACATTTATTCTGTATTGTAAATTGCGCCTTGTTGCCAATTTATATTATTATGTAATTATAATTATTCTTATTGTCACTTTGTAACCATAATATATATTAAACTTTTCCAGCTTCATATAATCCTATCATCAATTTGAGCTTTCTATTTATAAAAATTATAATTATATCACAATATAATACAATTAATATTATATATAACGTAATAATTAATATCTTATATTCAAGGGGAAAATGTCTAAATCGAAAAATAACTGCTGTCGTCACTTAGGTAAAATTAATCTACCACCTCCATGAATACCAATTCTCTTACAATTTTTTTTTGTCTAAAATCTTTATTTTGCATTAGGAGAATAAAAGGTTACAGGAGCTCAACGCATATGTAATTAAATGAACAGCTGTATAATGAGTGCTGATAGAAGAGCTCCTGTAATCACTTACTCTCGTAATATGAATATAAAATAAAATATGGCATACACTAAAAACTTTTTTTATATAATAGAGAGATATATCCACCAGCTATTGCTTCTATCGGATCATTTCTTATAAAATGTCTGAAATTCAAAGTGATTTTAGTAGACTTCGTGGTTTACTGCGTCTATGTTTACATATTATAATGAGCCATTATTAATCCTCTCTTTTTGTAATATTTAATATCATTCCAATTTATTGCACATTATTTAGTATGACACCAAATATGAATGTGAACACGCGAGATTTTCGACAGCAGTTTAGACTTGGACACTCGTCAGCCCATACCGTAAAAAAACACAAGGTTCGTGGAGTTGGAATTATATCATCCACATCGTATTGCAGTGATATTGACATACTGACTCAAAAACTATGAATAAGAAATGTGGTGTCTTCGTTACGGCCCGTCTAAAATATATGTATATCTAAAATAAAATATGGCAGTCACCAAAAACGTTTTTATGTAATATTGTATGATTAATAATTCTTTCTAACGAGATATGGTAAGAGGTAAGAGGTAAACGTTCTTGACAAACTGAACCTTCCTGTTATAGAATAATAAGGTGTAGTAATCTTGAAGTACGTACAATAGACCTGGATAGTGGGTACCTGTACCTTCGTTGTTTTGAACAATATTTTACCGGCCCTCATCTTCTTCAGATGTGCAGCGATTCTTTTCACCCCGGGCATACCTGCCTGGAAGGTATACGTCCTAAGCTTCCAGTTGGTTTCCATTTCTCCAGTCTACCTGGTCTCATCCTCCACGGTCAACCGGACTTGCAACCTGTTGCATGCACGTGTTTCTTTTAGATGTTTTAATATCTAGCAGCTTCTATTAATATAGAGCATCCATCACATAACTGTAGAAAATATGACAGTGGGTTAATAATTTACTGTCGTAGATATACTGAAGAGAAGCTAGTTGGGGTATTTAGTCAAAAGTAGCATAGTAAAAAAAAAAATTATACTTATTTTTTATTTTTGTCCACGTTTCAGGCCTTCATCAGAGTTGATCTGACGAGAAGGTGCCGTAAGACAAATTTTAGAAATATTATAATATAAGCATCCAATCAAATTTACGAGGCATTTGCCACCTTACATTATACGGGTATATATGCAACTAGTGCTGAGGATGTTAAAGTTTGTTAAATTCATGTAACTTACTTAACATTTATGAACTAGCTATGGTCGTCGCTATGCATTATTCTTTTATATGCTCTAGGGTCTGTTAAAATTTGTAACAAGTTAATAAACGCATAGAGAAAGCTCTTATGAGGTTTTCATCTCACAATGATTACTCTTGTTTTAAGTTCTATACTTAATGGAATAAAAAAGGCTTAGCGAACCCGAAGGTTCGATACCGATACCACCAACACTTGCAACTTAATGGAATAAAATGAAAGAAAACAATATGGAAGGAATCTACGAAATAGCTAAAGTGAAGCGAATTTTGTCTTTTTTGAAATGTTACGTTTTGGTTAAATCGAATTGATTCTCATTGATGATTTGAGTTAAATCATATTATTACTTTTATAAATCCAACAAATCTCCTAAAGTTTTGAATCATTCATCTATAGTTTACCATTTCTTAGTTTGAAAATATGCAGAAATTGTTTTATTGAATATTAATTAGTTGACCGTTGCATTATAAAGGAAGGAGATGGTCCGAGGATGCGGTCATAAATAGGTTAAATTGTGGTAAAACTATTTTATTAAAAGCCAACGTTTCGACCCGACTTTGCAGGTCTTCTTCAGAGTTTGAACGGACAAGATACAAAAATATAGAGAATTGTGGAAGTTAAATATTATTTAGAAGAAAAAAAATTATAAAATAGTTTTAGGCTTTTAATAAAATAGTTTTACCACTATTTATGACCGCCACCCCGGACCATCTCCTTCCTTTAGAAATTGTTTTAGTGTTTTTTTTATTAATATAAAAAACCTATGGACCCCAACTCTGAACGTCTATTAACGGCGCAATTTACGCTGTCAGAATTTCTTACGTTTTTCATGAATAATTAATTGATTGACTGTATAGATAAAAAAATCAATAAAAGGCTAAATTAAACTCATTTGCAAAAATCCGTCGCAACAACTACAGGTGCGGTTCACATTTATGTTTGAAAAATTCTCTTATCGTGTCAATTACCGGTACATTTACTGACTCAGGACGGCCACAATAATCCGAATCCCTAATAACCCGAAACTCTAGGTAATCCGAACAAAACAAAAAAAAAAAGTTGAAGTTGACTGTAGGGTGAAGGAATGGAAATAGCTCTGTTTCTCAGTACATATTACTGGAATTGCTTCGTGTGGTAGTGTCGAAATCGTATTGTGGTGTCTCTGAATGGAAAACACTAAAACTAGGCTGTCATCCAGAAGTTGGGGAATCTCTTTATATGTGGTTTTTACTGCAGAGATCATGAGGGTGTCCAGTCTACGGAAATATATTAGCTGAAAACTCAAAGTGTTTCTTTAATAATTTATTTATTTAAGACGGACAACAAAGCATATTTTAACGCCATTAAGCTTGGCTTGATAAATTCAAAAGTAGTTTTTTTTTTTATATTTCTGGAAAATTTCTTTACGTCCATTTTATTTTGTATTAGTCATAGAGAAGCCATAAAGGCTTTTAATACTTGCTTGGTGTGGGCGAATGGATACAATGTCTAATACCAAAGCCTGCTACTTTTAAGGAATTTGCGAGATCAGGCGTTTCCTTAAGCCAATTAAGAAATTCAACGTACATTATAAGATAATTTTCAGATATAATGTTTTAGTTGTTTGTAATGCGCGCGTGTTTAATTGATAATATCGTCGGATTATTGCAAAGTCATTTCTTTATTATTATTTTTTATTTATATGATATTTACAACTGTATATATCAATAAAAAAAAATACATCTTGTAAATTCACACTTGGATATGAAACACATGTTGAGAAACTACCCATTGTTAGCACTCTAATAATATGTCTATATTAGGAGATCACGTGACCATCTTCTTTTCTGACGCCTAGGAGGGTTATCAGGAATTCAATAGGAAGCAAGGTTAGAAACAAGAGGGTTGGGATGGTTATGAAGTTTATTATGGAAGGATATATATCTGGATTGGGCCAAATCTGATACATAAGGAACATTAAGGTCATTGTGGATGATTTTATTTGTAACAGAGTAAGGAGCATTGAGGATTTTACGAAGGATTTTGGATTGTAAGGATTGGATACGAGAGGAATTTGAAGGTTTTGTGGAGCCCCATAGCTCAACTCCGTAAGTCCAAATAGGCCTTAGTATAGTCATGGATATGAGTCTTTTATAATTAATTGGAAGGTTAGAGCGTCTGTCTAGTAAGTGTTGAAGTAGTCGGAAACGTCGAGCTGTTTCTTGTCGTTTCAGTCTGGTATGAGGATTCCAAGTTAGACGTTTGTCCAGGTGGAGTCTTAGGAAAAAAAGTCATTAGAAACACTTTAATAAATTTGAGCTAATCGAACATGAAGTTTCTGATCTATGAAAAAAAGACTGCAATCGCAATTTGATTATTTATTTTTTGTTATTTGCAATTATTAAACTCCCTGCGAACACCTCCACGACGACGTTATAAGCTCCCAGGAGATACCGAGGATTAGGATTAATCCGCTGCCAATGGGAGGCCCTTCTGCAACATCAGTCCATTGCTCAGCGACTATCCAATGTGCCAGATGCCCTATTCCAATCGATTTTGGTTATTCGTTTGCGGAATGGGACAATTGCAGGTGGCAGAGCATTGAAGTTCGCCGTTTTAAAGGGACTCCTGAAGGGAATAAATACACGTATGAAAAGCATGTACTTTCTGGGTCGGAATGGTCAAATGCCATAAGACTTACTATTAATTATGCGCCCCAGGTGTCAGCGGACAGGTAGGAGAGTTGGGTCCAGAGGGTCAGGCACACTAGCACGTGTGCTTGGAAAATGCCCCCAACAACTCCCTCCTTATAACAACACGCCGTCACAACAGAGACGAACATGAACTGATGGGGATCTCTTTAGAGATATCACGCCTGTTTCGAAAAAGTATATTGCATGTATACGGATGGTCGGCGATGATTTTATGATGTGATATGAGACCAATGACCTCAATCAGCCCGCCTAAGTGGAAAGGAAAAAAAAAACAGACGTATGAGAAATGCATCGCTTTCCTTAATGGAAAAGTTCCGAGAGAGTTCCACGTGAGAGGCCTTTGGTTCGGAACTCGCGTAACGATACCAAACTGACCAAGAAGCTTCATGGAGGGCCTTGGTGTCGGCATAAAGGAAGTTGGCAGATAATATAATCCTCCACTCTCTGGAAATCGTCTACCACTATGTGCATGAGAGCGGATTGGGAGAGAATTTGTTCATGGGGGGGAGGGAGGCAGGCATGCATGTGGTACAGCATTTTTATATTATTTATTGAACACGTCCACTGTACTTTATGTATTTGTAAGCATTTTATGAATTAGGTTAGGGAGAGAGAGAGGAACGAATAGAAAGGCATGTAGAATGCTAATGAATGAATAAAAGAAATTGTTAAAAAAATACATAAAAAATATTACCTATATATATTGTATGTATACTATATACTATATATATTGTTAATAATGTATTTTTGTATATAAGTTTTAAAAAATTGTCTGTAGTGATTAATAAGTTTACTGTGTTTTAAGCAACCCAATATAATTGGGCACCACCCTTTTTTATGAAAATAAAGTGATTCCTCTCTCTCTCTCTCTCTCGACAATAAATTAAAATACTTAACTTATACATACAAATTAAAAACTGAAACCACGGCGATGGCAAAATATAGATGTAAGGTAGATTTTAAGTTAGCCCTAAGATAATTATCAAGATAGAGGTGAGTCTCATCATCCAGATTAAAAGTCAAGAAATAAAGATAAACAGAACTAATAAAGGCTCAGCAGGACCTTAAAATATATCTAAGATGCAGCACAAAGAACATCTTAAAGATATGTAAGAAACGAAACATGTATGAAACTCCCCAGTTCCTCCTTATCCCCATAGGGAAATAGTCAGGACGCAGTCATTTTAAAGGTTTTTATTGGTGCCGACGTTTCAACCCATGTGGGCCATCAGGGCATGTACAGGTACTCCACTTTGAAACGTCGGCACCAATAAAACCGACTCCATCCTGACCACAGGCGGATCTACGGAGGGGGGGAGCTTTCGGGCTGAAGCCTTCCCCCCAATATGGTAAAATATAACCATGTTTTACAGAAAAAAATATTAAAAACTATCTCTTAAAGTATTCTTGTCCGTATAATTATATTAATTAGGACTTCAAGAACCACTTAAACACCATTTCATATAGGTAATTAAGTTATTTCTATTTTTTTCAAATTAATTATCGTTATAGGTATATGAGAAAAAATATTTCGGGCTGAAGCCCCCCAAAATTAAATCCTGGATCCGCTAGTGACCCAAGTAATCCATTAAGTATCCTGACTATGAAATATTAGGTCCTTATCGAGCACTGAACCGTTGATTTTAACTGTTATTTATTGTAACTAAGTTTTTTGAAGTAACATAGTTTTATTCACCTTGTATGTATCATAGTTATTTTCTAGCTGATATACTTTTCCTCTTTGAGACCTTTCACGTTTTCCCTGTTTAGACTCTTCCCGTAAGGGCGTGTTTCCTGGCTTTTTCCCGTTACCCCAAGTGGCAGAAAGACGAGATAGGGGCAATAACAACTCCCAAGATAAATATAAGGTATTGGAACGGTGGGTGACCTGGTGTCTTTCCAGGCTCCCCCCCCCCTCCATCCTCTTCCAAACGTGGAGGGGGTACAGAAGCGCCTAAAAGGGCTTTCAGTTGAAGCTTGTGCGAGCCAGGTTGTGGATTGTGTTGTTCATGTGTCTCCAGTTTGGAACCTCTTCGAAACAAAACAAGGTATTATCATATTGATCTTGTCAGCAATATTGTCTTGTGAGTATTTGTATCGTAAGTGCACTAAGCAATGCAGAGTAACCGTGTTCATATTTCAAGTACGAATAACTTGAAGTGTTGTCCACATACCTTACAATGCTACGGTTTGTTGTAAATGTTTCGGGAAAACGTGGATAAATTGATATCATAGTGTAAGTTATTAATTGGCTAGGAGTCTCATTGAACTGTCGTGACTTATATTTTGGTGTTTACTTTTTTAAGACAGGTGCGTATGCATATATCTTTAAACATAATAAACTCAGTTTAAACCAAACTTTTATAGAACTGTTTTTAAAGTTGTACTCACACAAACGTGTCAAGAAAAAACGTTTTTAAAATAAAAGTTCTGAAAAAACAAAAGTTATCTTAAATGAGTAATAAACATAAATTGGCCTTATATTAAATTTTAAAAGAATTAATTGATTCCATTTTGCCTTTTGTTTTTTTGTGTAACACTGAATGAAAGTCATTTTTAGGTCGATTTTTTTATGAAAGTAATAGATCATTTAAATAAATTTCTTTAAAACCTTTACTTGAAAAATTTCAAAAAGTTCTAGTTCCTAAATAATAAGAAATAATTTGAAAAAAAAATCAGTCATAACCCATGCTGATTAAAAATTTGATTTCAAGCCTTTTTAAAATAAATTTATTGAAGTTTCATTATTTTAATGAACTAGAAAGGCAAATATATCTCATCAAATAAAATGACACAACAAACGCTTGTTTTGAATTTTTTTTTTACATTTTTTGTTTTGTTTTTCATTAATAATCATTACCATAAATTAGACTTTAGTTTCGATTAATAATTTTTCTTTGACGCAAGAAAAATAACTATATATATAATTTTAAATTTATTATTATTCGAACAGGTTGTGATAAGTTTAATTCTTGTATTCTAAGAAGGAAATAACCACTTTTGAAAATATACGACTCATGTAATCATGATATGTGGTTAAAAATAAATTTCGAAGAAATCTTGGTTGCTGTTAGAAATAAATAATATTTGAAAATATATATAGATATATTAATAGTATATTCATTTTTATTTGTAATTTTAGTAGGCGTTATAAAAATAATCTATTTTTAATAGATTATTTAAAAATAGTATAAATTATATCGATACCCTCTGTTATCACTGTTTATAAACAAACTTATCAATGAATTTGTATACACTTCGGTGTGCTTGCACTCGTTTCTATTTTAATTATAGCTTTAAATGTTTAAAACTTATTGAACTTTTATTTTAATTGTTTTATTTTATGGTTTTCTTTATTTATTTATTTTGTTATTGTTATTGGTTATGGGGAAGGCTATTCTTGGTTTTCAAGGTCCACCATTTTCTCTCCGGCCCTATCGTAAATCAGAACGTCTCTAAAAGCAACAGGTGGTTTTAGACGGAACTAAGAGACCGTCCAATTTTACGATGGCTTACGGTATTAACGCCAGTTATATTCGAAGTATTGGGTTTTCTCAGTATTATTTTTGGTGCTTTGACCATATATATTGTAAATGGGTCGTTCATTTCCAAAGTGAACCCACATAACCATGAATGACAATTTTTCAGAATACACATGTTCTATTCCAATTGTTATATGAAAACCATAATTAAAAAAAAAAAAAGATATCGACAGTTATTTTTTATAGTACCTATTTCAGAAAATCCCTGATTATTTAAATTATATTGATACTTGAATAGGACTACTTTTGGAATGAAAAAGTGTTGTATGATACGGGGAGAAAAAATGTATACTATAAAAAAATAACTTATTTCATCGAATCGAATCATTTCAGATTTTTAAAAAATCTATTAGAGTTCACTTAACAAATAAATGACTTAAAACTAATGCGTAATTAAATGTTGTTGTTTTTTTCTGCTGAGTTTTTAAGCAATGTGGTACTTGATAAAAAAAACTTATATTTTGAAAAATAATTATATAAAAATAAATTGATGTCTCCTCAATCAAAATTTCACAAATTTAAATAAAAAATTTACTATAATAAAAATAAATACAAAAATTTCTATATATTTTTTATTAATTGCACATATTCTCTTCTAGGGAATAAATTAAATTTTATCATATGAATTATATTGAATGAAATGTAAATTTTTCAGGGCGACATTAATTAAAACATAATATGGATTGGATGTAATCTAATTTGTCAATTAATAAAATATATTCCGATTAGATTCATAGAATCCCATCCTGGGATTAAGCATATGCTAATTAACAGTAATCCTGGAGGATTAATTATAATGTTTTTAATTATCATCTCTAATAATAATAATACAATTAATATTAGTATGAATCGTTTAGTAATTCTTGTCGTAATCCTAAAGGATTTATCATTAGTAACCCTTTCTATGATACTATTAATCCCTTAATCTTAATTATTATTATTATTTTTTTTTTTATTCCAGTCAAGAATTCTCTGTAAACTCAAAGGGAATAAAATGTCTTTAAAAAATAGGTAATCGGTCACTGAAAAGTCTGCTGATTACGAAGTAATAGGAAATTATGATCATTGTTGGTTTTTTATCAGTCATACACCCAATATTAGCTTTTTAATATATAAATGAAAAATAATTAAAAAAAAAATATATATATATATATATATATATATATATATATATGTGTGTGTATATATATAAAATTAAGGGCATGCTGTATACAAATTTTAATTTACATTATATATAAATTACACACACACACAGATATATATTTTGAAACTTTTATCTCGTTAGTTTCTTAAACTACGGGGCACACTTGAGTTCGAAAAGTGTGTAAGTGCCCGGTCACAAATAGAGGGGCTCTTTTTTTGCTGGCGTTTCGGTGGAACGAAGTGAAAAACACCGTAGCCAAGCTATTTCTGCGTCTAGGCTTGAAATCTTGTGGAATTTCAGCGTTTTGTGTCGTCATATCTCTTTTATACTCGGCAATCATTACAAAAATTAATATTATTATATGAATAAATAATTTTCGTTGGGCAAATCCTTGAAATATAATATTTTTACCTAGAATATACCATCATGTCCTTTATGCCATAGTTTTATATATATAATAAATGTATATAAATTAATTTATTGAAGAAAGTTTGTCGATTGTTTTTCTATCTAGTGTTGACCAAGGCTGGTAAGAAAAATCGCTTTTTTGATTAAAAATCAAGGTAAAATTGTTACTAATACTTGACAATTTTAGTTAATATATGTAAAGAAGTGGTTTAACCAATATGCTTTTGCATTTAACTCTACTAATTTTTCATTCGGGCTTAGTTAGGTTTCCCCTATCTAAAAAATTACAGTAATATCCCTATAGTAATAAGCTACTAGGTAACTGCGAGACTCTTGCGCAAGACCAAGACTGGTCTTGGTCTCGCATTTGCTATTTTTGTTATTATATATTCTTTTGATTTTATACTTCGAAAACTTATTTTCATTTAGTTTTCAATTTTTCACTGTTAGATAATTACTCTTAATAATAATAATAAAAGTCTTAGCGAACCGAACCGAAGTTTCGATGCCGACACCACCAGTCACGTATTACACACTTCCCTCCACCGTTCATCGTCCAAACCCAATCCCCTCAGATCTATAACGCAATCTTCCCACCTATCTCTCGAACGTTTACCATTCGGTACAGCAAATATTAACCTTTTAGGAATTCTTTCGTTACGAGGCTCAACAATTTTACAAGCCCATTTGATTCGCCGCGATTTAAATTAAGAGCCTTTTTGAGAAAATTGTAAAAATCTGTATAGCCTTTGATGTAAAGTGGCACTTCCAGTTAGCCAAGTTTAATGTAAAAGTTGCTGTAACATCCCAGGTATATACGTGACCTAAATATATATTTTCAGTTTCATACGACTTTTTGTTTTTGAGCTAGACTGATAACATACACACAGACTGTTTTGCGAGACTAGGTTATTTGAACTCTGATCGGATATAAACGGGATACTGTTCACGCAATTCGGCGCTGTGTAACCGTCTGAACTCACCGGTTAACTCATCCTTCTTCTGTCCGAATATTCTTCGTAATACTTTATTTTCAACAACCTTAAGAAGTTGCTCATCCCTTAATGTAAGCGGATACGTTTCGCATCCATAAAGAACTGTAGGTAAGATAATGGTTTTATAGATTCTAGTTTTTAAGTTCCGGATAAGAGGCGCGAGCTAAATAGTTTTGTCACAGAAAAATAACAAGCATTTCCTTCCCCCCTTCAGCTTTACCTTAATATCCTCTTCAATTACTTCTTTTTTTTTCTAGTTATCGTAGGCCCTAGATACTTAAACTTCTCTACCTGTTCATACACATTACCCTCTATATCGATATCACCAGCATGACGCAATTTTTGCTGCTAACTATATATTCTGTCCGAGTGAGATACTGTATTATGTACAGTAATTACACTCGAAATTATAGTTAAGAAAATACTGTTCGGTAACACGTTTTTAAAAAATAGACACTTGTTGATGAATTTAATAAGTAAATAAATACAAAATGTTATTGGAGCTATACCTGTCACACGTTTTCGAGCACAGAATGCCGTATTCTAAAAACTTATATAATCTCTTATTACCATATTTTACTACCACATTTTACAGCCATTATTTTGTTAACAATTACTTTATTGCTATATGGAATTCGATTAAGTTGATACTAGAATTTTTTTTTTTTTTTTACAAATATTAATAATTTTCTTCATAAAACTTAGCAATTTATGATATTAAATTACTAGAAAAAAATAATGGATGATTATTATAGCCTAATAAACAGGTACAATCGAACTGATACGCCATTCAACACAACCCTAGAAGGCACGGTAGCTCTAGGTCGTACAATAGGTTCACTTCCGTTCTTTTGTTTTGTTACAAGCGCTCCAAAATGCTCTTAAGACTACAACTTTCACTTTAAGTCCCAATAAATTAAACATTTATTTTTAGTTTAATAATTAATTTAGACTTACTC